CATGAAGATCGGTATCATTTGACCAGGCTTATTAGATATCCTACTCATCCCAGTCGTACGTTGACAATTATCATGAGGATGACTAAGCACCACCAGAGCCACCACCACCTCCTCATCCTCCTCCACCTCCTCCTCCTCCTCCACCTCCACCTCCTCCTCTTCCTCCTCCTCCTCCTCCTCCTCCTCCTCCTCCTCCTCCTCCTCCTCCTCCTCCTCCTCCTTCCTGCCCATGGGCTGACGAGCTGCAGGAATCAAAGAAGTTGGAGATGAGGAGGGTATCGACTTCCCTTCCTCCTCTGCGACAGTCCATGACGTGCCGCAGGTGCTGGCGAAGAGGATCTTAGAGGAGCAGCATGTGTGAGGACGTGGACGAGGACGAGGACGAGGACGAGGACGAGGACGAGGACGAGGACGAGGACGAGGACGAGGACGAGGACGAGGACGAGGAGGATCAAAACTCTCAGGAGTCTCAGAACGCTTCTTCTATTCACTTCTAGTGTTCAGCATTAAATTCACTCTTGCAAACCCCCCCACTCATTCCGATCACATGCCCCCCAACAGCAACTCAAGTCTACATGAGCTCGCCGCAGAGATAGTCTTCACTTGTGACTTTGTGCTGATGTTTGCTGTCGTTTGGCTCGAGAACACCATGATGTCGAGAACTCTCACCATCCTGCCTGTCATGAAGGGTCCACTGACATCTCAGCCCCGCCGACAGTGACATTCCAACCCTGGACAGGGTCAACTGCTATCAAGTGACGGATGTCGGAGTCCCTCCTCCTCCTCCTCCTCCTCCTCCTCCTCCTCCTCCACCTGATGATGGAGATCTTACTCCTCCTCCTCCTCCTCCTCCTCCTGCCTCCGCCGCGCCGCTTCCACGGTGCGCAGGGACGTGGGGTCATGAGGTAGGGACGAAGGGGCTGACCAGCCAGACCGTCAGGTTTTCTTCTTCTCTAGAGGGCTCGTCCTTGACCAGGGTCGAGGTAGGTGAGGGCTGGGTAGAGGTACTCCTCCTCCTTGGGGAATACGGACAGATACTGCAACGAGCTTCCCATCTGTATCGGCTTCACGTGCATCTCGAACAGCAGCGGAGTCTCACTTGCCGCGTACTTGACCGCCACCGCCTTCGACGCTGTCGTCGACATGCACGCCAACTCCGTTCCCCCTCGCCTGCCGAACCCCTTCGGAACGACTTTGTCCTTCACGCCGCGCCATAGCGTGTGGAGCTTGCCAGGTTCCAGGCTGTCCAAGTTGACTATGCGCAGTTTGCAGATTCCTTCCGTGAGGTGCATGACGGTCATGGCGAGCGGGTGGCGACGGGCGGGGGATCGGAGGAAGCGGTTGATGAGCCGGAAGGTGTCGGAGGTGTAGAGCCGAAGGGCCAGCACGTTCTCAGCTGTCAGCTTCGCTCGGACGCTGTGAGGATGGTTAACGAAGTCGACGAGCGCTCGTAGTCGAAGTCCTCGGGGTCGATGTGCCCGCCATGGTACTGCCTTGCCGCCAGCTGCTCCTTGACGTGCTGGGGGATCCACTGAGGATCTCGAGCTATCCCCGAGAGGATGTACCGCAGATTGACCACGTCGCTCCTCTCCCCGTACGTCTCCAGCTCCCTCACGATTGCTTGAACTCCCTCAACAAAGTTGCCGCCGTACTGCGACTGGCTAAGGCCCAGGTACTCTCTCACCCCCAACATCGACTCCTGCACCGCTCCCAGCCTCAGCTCAGTCGCCATATACTTGTCGCCTCCTCCTCCTGCCTCTGCTGCCTCCGCAACGGCAGCGGCCGCCCGACGCTCCCTCCGAGGAATCTGCACGATCAAGGAACCTCCAGGAGGCATCGGCAGGGAAAGCAGAACGGAGGGCCAGGGGGCATGTACACTCGCCCATCCGCCGAAGCCCCGGGGAAAACCTCCTTGGAAGAGGAGGAGGACGGAGTTGCTGTCCTTGTGGAAGAGGATCTGAGCGTCGTCGATGGTGTCTAGCCCTTCCTCCGACCTGCGATGAATCACGAGCTGATGCCTCCCATCCACCTTCTCCTGAGCTACGGAGTCGCACAGCCTGTTGGAGCTGCAGCAGTGGACGATGCAGTCAGTCCACAACACAACGACGTGCTTGACAGAGACGATGGTGGGCTCAGCGGCTCGTTCAGTTTGAAGGTGAACTCGTTCTTGTCTCTCACCCTGTAGACGCGAGCTGAGAGATCTTCCTGTCCGAGCTCAGCTGGGCTGACGATCTTCTCCTCTGAATCAGAACCGACGAAGCTTACCCTCACTTCAAGTCCTCCTGGTGTCTCAGCGGAACCTGTTCCACGTGGCACTGGGCATGCGGCTCTTAGTTGGTTCTTGCCTCCAAGTCCAGCTCTATCCCAGCAACAACGCAGAGGCCGATGGAACTTGAAGCCTGGCGGCAGTAGGGCCTCGGATCTGCCGGCCCTGGCGGGCCCGGGAGCTGGCGGCGGCTAGTCACTGAGAGTCTGTGTACAGCCCGGGCCGGGATGCTGGCCGGGATGTATGAGGGCCAAGAGAATGAGTGGAGATGAGGGCCAAAAATTCTTTGGGATGAGGTGGAAGAGAATGGTGGAAGGGGAGGGAGAAAGATGAGAGGATGAGAGGATGAGCTAGCATGCTAGTACGATGAGAGGATGAGCTAGCATGCTCCTACGATGAGAGGATGTGTTAGCATGCTAGTACGATGAGAGGATGAGCTAGCATGCTAGTACGATGAGAGGATGTGTTAGCATGCTAGTACGATGAGAGGATGAGCTAGCATGCTAGTACGATGAGAGGATGAGCTAGCATGCTAGTACGATGAGAGGATGAGCTAGCATGCTAGTACGATGAGAGGATGAGCTAGCATGCTAGTACGATGAGAGGATGAGCTAGCATGCTAGTACGATGAGAGGATGAGCTAGCATGCTAGTACGATGAGAGGATGTGTTAGCATGCTAGTACGATGAGAGGATGAGCTAGCATGCTAGTACGATGAGAGGATGAGCTAGCATGCTAGTACGATGAGAGGATGAGCTAGCATGCTAGTACGATGAGAGGATGAGCTAGCATGCTAGTACGATGAGAGGATGAGCTAGCATGCTAGTACGATGAGAGGATGTGTTAGCATGCTAGTACGATGAGAGGATGAGCTAGCATGCTAGTACGATAAGAGGTGGCTTGTATTCGCACTGACACCATGATCAGATCCATTTGTAATGGTCAAGAAGCCAGAATTCGATGACGAGAGGTAGCATGTTCTTGTTGCTATATGCCTGAGGTGAGATGAAGAAGATGAAGATGAAGATGAAGAGGACAGTTTCTTCAGTCTTCCGACAATGAGCCATCACCTTCCCTTGCTTCTGTTCCTTGCAGCTCTCCCTACATGCTCGCTCTCGCGGCTTCGAGGAGGATCTTCCCAACATCTCGCCAACGCCCAGCAGATCGTGCTGGACAGCGACGCTCTTCTGCGGCATGGCTACGACCTGGAGGGTCTGAAGGCGAGCATGCGTCTCTTCTCTCCCCTCGCAGCTCATCTCGTTGCCTCGCAGGAACCCATGCTACTGCATGACTTTGACTTGGCGGCTGGCAATCGAAGCTGGAATGAGCACTCGCCCAACTTCCAGCCGCTCCCTCCGTCCTCTGTGCGGATCGGTGTGTTTGGTATGAACGACCTGAAGGAGAAGGAGGAAAGCAGCAGCAGCGGGTCGGAAGTGAAGAGGAGGAGGAGAATCTTGAAGTTCTGCTCTCCTCTCAGCGGAAGGTTGGGGTGGGGTGGCTGGTGGAACTGGAGGCTCCGAGACGAGCAGCAGGGAGAGGCTGGAGAGGAGGAAGGGGAGGAGGAGGATGTCGTGGACTTGGACGACGACGAGTTGCAGGTCGTGCTGGACGAGGACGAGGATGGGGACATGTCTAGGAGGGAGAGGGAGGAAGAAAACGACGGGGGGGAGGCAGAGGAGGAGGGGAAAGAGGAGGAGAAGAAACTCCGCGCATGCCGCCTTCTGCTCTTTCGTGCGCTCAAGTCGCTCAAGTTCAAGGGGAGGATGAGGGAGTTGCTGGCGAGACCTTCAGGGCTGGAGGATGAGGAGAGTTCTCTACAGCAGATTGAGATCGAATGGTGTGTGCGAGGAAACGGTAAGAAAAGAAGCCTGAGGCAGTGATGTAGTCCTCGCTCCCTCGCTCGCTCCCTCTCTCTCTCCCTCCCTTGCTCCCTCCTTCACTCCCTTGCTCCCTCCTTCACTCCCCCTTCCTTCATCTCCCTCCCTTCCTCCTTCCCTCTCCCTCCCTCCCTCATATGTATCTTCCTACCTCCACCTCCTTTCTTTCGTCATGTCTCCCCTGACATGTCTGTATGCCATCTGACGCTCTCTCTTGAATGTCTCAGTGTCAAAGGCGGAAAGGATGTATCATGACGCTCTTGAAGCAAGCAAGCAAGACAAAGCCCTCCTCAGGTAAGTCCCTGCCATTCCCCTCCACGTCTCCTCCTCCGTCCTGCTCCTCCTGTGCCTGTCCCTGCTCCTGCGCCTTCTGGTGCTGATGCTGCTGCTGCTGCTGCTGCTGCTGCTGCTGCTGCTGCTGCTGCTGCTCCATCACTGAGACAACTGTGACTGCAGGTCCTACTCAGACTTCCAGGTCTTCTGCAGACAAGACATTGAGAAAGCCGAGCTTGCGCTTCAAGTATGTTCGCCTTCAAGGTAGGGGCCACACTTGAACTTGTTGCAGATGTCGATAGATCAAGATCACAACTTTGCGCCTTCGCTCCTGTCGTACTGTGAGCTTCTCCTTCTCAAGCAAGAGAGCCTGGAATCCATGAGCATCGTCGAGACGGTAGTTGGGGTTTGTGTGATCGAGAGTCTGACTGTGATTGTGTGCAGCTGCTGGCCCACGCGAAGAACCTTGTGGAGAGAGAGAAGAGAGAACGAGAACGAGAGGAGACGCTGATGCAGCTGAAGCACCTGACGGCCCTGCTGGTCCTTGCGAGGGAGGGTCACGAGAAGGCCTACGACTTGCTCGTAGCCAACTTAGAAGATGATTTCACCAGGCAGCACAACCTCAACACGAACCATGAGAGATGGTTGCGACTTCTGCTCGCTGACTCGTCAGCCTCTCCTCCTCTCTCCATCCGTGCGAGTAACTACGCGCTGACTTGGTCCACGGTGAGGAGGAGAAGACTGTTTGCCTGACGCTGACGTGTCGCAGATTGGAATGGTGAGGTGGAGGATGGGAGACCTGGAGGGGGCCGAGAGCGCGCTGTTGACCTCCATGCTCTGTGCGATCAAGCGATGGGGAGGAGGAGGAGGAGGAGGAGGAGGAGGAGGAGGAGGAGGAGAGGGGCTCCTGCCTCTCCGTCTCCTCGAGGAGACGCGGATGCTTCGGACGTTGATGGGCAGCATGTGCAGGTACGCAGACCTGCTGGCGGGGTGGAAGGGGAGGGAGGAGGACGCGACGCTGCTGTACCTGGAGGCCACGAGGCTCAACTCGCATGACGGTGAAGTCGATGCAGAGATGTTCAGGTTGCTGCGGTGGCGGGGGCAGAGCAGGAGAGCGTGGGAGACGCTGTCTGCCAAGTACGCGGAGGAGGAAGCACCTGCTCCTGTTGCCCTCCTGCGCGCCAGGATGCTTTCAGAGGAGCTGCAGGAGCACAGCAGGGCAGAGATGATGTTGCGGAGGATCTCGGAGGAGGGGAGGGGAGGACGCGAGCTGCTCTGGGCGGGACAAGCTTGCGTGCTGCATGCAGACCTGCTGCTGCTGGTGAGATGGGACGAGAGGAGGGCTGAGCAGATGCTCCTGTCGTCCCTCAAGAGGACGAACTCGACGAGCAGGGACCCGAGGATAGTGGCTCTGAGAGTGACGCTGCTCTGCCGTCTCGCCAGGATCAGGGAGAGGAGGAGGACGTGGAGGGATGCTGTGGACTTGCTCAACCTTGCGCTCAAGATCCTTTCTGCCCCTCACGTCTCGCTCTCGCTTGAAGAGCTGGAAGGAAGAGGGAAGGGATCGAAGACTACAGGGAGCAAGAGAAGAAAAGAGGCTGGAGCAGGGGGAACCATGGAGGAAGGAGCAGGAGCAGGAGCAGGAGCAGGAGCAGGAGCAGGAGCAGGAGCAGGAGCAGGAGCAGCATTGAGGGAGAGTCTCTTCTCTCCTCATCCGCTGCTCCTCCTTGCAAGAGGTGAGGTCCTGCTCTGCCTCGGCTGGACTTTCTACCGGGCGGGGCAGCACCAACGAGCTCTGTCCTACTCCTCTAAGGCCCTCTGCTGCAGCGGGAGCATGGTGAACCTGGTCAACCACTCCCTCCTCTTCTCCCCTCATGACCGTCAACTCCTCCTGCGCTCCTCCTCCGACCTCCTCGTCTCCCACCACGTCGTCCTCCTCAAGTCGGACTTCGCGGCCTCCGCCCTCCTGCTCCGCTCGCATGCTCTGTTTGCCTGCTCGCATGTGGACGAGAGTCTCAGCCTCCTGCAGGAGGCGAAGAAGCTTCTCCCCTCCTCTCCTCACCTCCTCTTCGCTCGCGTCATGTTCAAGTTCGCCCAGCTCGACCTGGAGGGCGCGGAGGAGGAGCTGCGGTCTGCGCTGAGGGCTCAGGCGCCTGACGGGAGGACGCTGCTGGCCTCTGTTGCCGTCCTGTGCGGGTCCAGCAAAAACATGTCGAGCATGCAGAAGAAGCTCATGGCGGCAAGACGGATGCTGAAGAGCGCACGGAGAACTAAGTTGGAGGAGCAGCAGGAGGAGAAAGCGGAGAACGGGGAGAAGGAGGAGGAGAGCAGAGAAGAGAAGAGGAGGAGGAGGAGGAGGAGGAGGAGGAGTGGGAGCGAATCGGACTTTCTAGATCAAAGCAGGTGGTGGATGCTGGGAGGGGACTGGGGCTGGCGGCACATTTCATGCGGGGAGAAGGACGTGACGAGCTGGGAAGAGCTGGAGGAGAAGCTGCTGCGGGTCATGCAGGAGCTTGAGGAGGAGCTGGAGAAGAGGAAGAGGGAGTTAGAGCTCTATCGTCATATGAAACGCGCGGTGGGGGAGGGGGAGGAGGAGGAGGAGGGAGACTCGAGGACCTCGCTAGTCGAGAGCTTGCAGGTAGGGCTGGAGATCTTCCCGCAGGACAGGAACGACACAGACTCCTCCTCCTCGTCCTTGGTCGCGAAGACGCTGGATGAGCTGGACCACAAGTCCGACGAGGAGGAACGAATTACTGTACAAGTCAAGGAGAACTCCAGCGACCTCGTGCGACTTTTAGTCCCGATGCTCCAGAAGCTCGAGGAGGAGGAGAGACAAGAAGCAGCAGGAGGAGCAGCAGGAGCAGCAGGAGCACCAGGAGCAGCAGGAGCAGCAGGAGCAGCAGGAGCAGCAGGAGCAGCAGGAGCGGCTACAGCAGAAGGAGGAGGAGAGGGAGAGGAGGAGCTCGATATCCAAGACATCATCGAGATGGAGCAGGAGAATCTGCTGGCAGACAGCTCCGGCCGTCACGCAGCTGAGACCTACCTGGAGGCGAAGGACGTGCTCCGGTACCTCCTGGCTCTCGAGCTCGGTCACCCCCAGCAAGTGAGCGAGGAGGAACGGGAGCTGCTGCAGACCCGCGTCATCGCTCTCCTCGCACAGAACGCTTTCAGCCCTGAGGAGGAGGAGAGGAGGAGGAGGCAGAACCTCACCTGCTCCTGCGGCATCCAGGGATGCGGGGGACAAGCAGAGCCTTTCTGGCTCCTTCCTCGCGACCGGTGGAGGAGGCTGGAGGTGGAGCCGTTCCTGGCGAGGAGGAGATGGTTCATACCCCCTGCTGTGACGGGAGAGGAGCAGGAGGAGGAGAGGAGGAGACGGCGGGAGCTGCTGCGGGAGCTGAAGGATGAGATCGCATCCAAGATGCGGACGCAGCTGTCGCAGAAGCCGCTGGAGCTGCGGGGGAGGAGCATAGAGGAGGCGATGGACTCTGTTGAAGACCACTTGAGGGAGGCAGAGGGAGGGTTCAGGAGGAGAAGGCTCCCAGTGAGCGAGAAGGAGAGGACCAACCTGCGGAGAGCGCTAGAGGAGAAGGAGGAGAAGAGGAGCGCGGACGTGGCGATCATGAGCGAATATGAGCGCGAGCGGATGGAGAGGATACGGAGGAACAAGGAGGCGCTGGAGCACGCGGGGCTGAGAGGGGAGGAGGACGAGGACGAGGAGCAGGAGGATCAGGAGGGAGAAGAGGAGAAGCAGGAGGGGAGGGACGACATAAGAATGGATCAAGCTACCAACAAGGTACAGCAGAGGACGAGAAGGACGAGGAGGAGCCGTTTGACATCCTTACCCTGATGCAGATCAGCGCAGGAGCAGAGGCTCTTCGTCGAGTGGCAGAGAGCATGCAGGAGGAGAAGAGGCGTGCGGAGGAGATGAGGATGGGGGAGGAGGAGGAAGAGACTTTCAACTATGAGAGCTTTGAGCCTTTGCTTCACAACTGTAACAAGGTCAAGTTGGGTGAAGCAGTCATCAAAGAGGTCTCAAACTCCTACTCGCCCTCCTCTCCTCTCCGCTCCGCTCCTCTCCTCTCCTCTCCTTCTCCTTTCGTCGTTGCCTTCTCCCTCCTCTTCCGCTGCTCTCTTCTGGCTCTGCTCACTGTCAGAGCAGATCTCGGAGACGGAAGTCAAGCAGGACGCACCGCCAGTGACGGGAGGGGCAGGGCGAAGGAGATACGAACGAGTCAAGCTCTTGGTGCGAGGGGAAGAGAGGAGAGGAGGACGAGGAGTAGGGGAGAGGAGGGAGGAGAGGAGAGGAGGACGAAGAGTAGGGGAGAGGAGGGAGGGACGTGCGAGAGGAGGGATGGGAGGGTAACTTTGATGCAGGAGTCTCTTGTATGGGAAAGCAACTTGATCTCTGCATTGAAGGTTGAAAGAGGCGAAGCGAAGGAGGAGCGGAAGGTGAGCGACAATGAGCAGAGAGAGAGAGAGAGAGAGAGAGAGAGGAGGGAGGGAGGGAGGGAGGGAGGGAGGGAGGGAGGGAGGGAGGGAGGGAGGGAGGGAGGGAGGGAGGGAGGGAGGGAGGGAGGGAGGGAGGGAGGGAGGGAGGGAGGG